CAACAAACGGGGGAGAGAGTCCATACTACAATCGATGGAATTTTGAAAAATTACACAATTAAGTATATTTTCTAAAGTGCAAAAAAAAAAAACGCGAGGACGAATCCTAGGCCCATTTCGACAGCATAATGGCTACGAAAAGGGAAAAACACTAAGTCGAAAGCCACCCAATACTTGGGGGCTACGACACCTGCAATTGAACTTAGTAAATGGGGGCTCAAACACCCACAAAGCCAACCTATACCAGTTCAACTAACTATTCTAGATATTACTTTTATAAATCTTGGGAATTAACAGTTCGTAGATGAATAACAAACATTCAAATATAGTGATCGTCCACCAAACAATTATTTTGAAGCTTGAGAATGGCAAAAATCAGGGGAAAAATAAACATGCATTTCGCGCCATTTCTCAAAATAAAAAATTTCAAAAACATGATTCATGAACGTAATTGTAGGAATAACACTATAATTTACTTCACAATCAACAAGTATGACCAAATGAGCAAGCAAAACAAGTAATTCAAACTCAAAATTGAAGAAAAATGCAAAGAACGAACTTGAACAAAAATATGCTCATACAAGGTTCAATACTTAACCATTTTTTCATAAAATTTGTTGCAAAACACTCCTTGAACATGGCATAACAACATGGAACAAAAAATTTCAAGAATAATGGACCGAATCGAAAACCCCTAAATTCGAAATTTAGGTTTCTTCGATTCGATTTTTCCCAATTTCGGCCAAAAAATGAGTAAAAACAACAAAATACTTACATTGGGTTTTGGCAAATATAAACAGGGAGAAAGATCTACTTCCTTTAGCATCAAAAAACAATGAAAAGCAAGCTTTCTAGAGAGAGAAAGAAACAAAAATGGTGAAGGAAGGAGAAGAATGGGCAAAATGAAAATTGCGCCCAACGATTTTTTTGTTGACTTAAATGTCGCGCGCAACTCTGTAAGTTGCGCGTGACAGCCCAGCGCAACTCAGTTACTTGCGTGAGCCTAGCCAACGCGGCCTACTAAGTTGCGCGCGGATACTGGTCATTTAAAAGAAGGATATCCGGATTTTGATCCGTTTTGAATTTTTTCTAATGGTTTTGTGCGTTGTCAAACGTAATAACACGCGAATCATCAAAATCCTTTTAATTACTTTGTATCTTGTAGTTTATTTTCTTCTTTGATAGTTTTTTTTTTTTTTTTTTTTTTTTTTTTTTTTTTTTTTTTTTTTGCATGCACACTGTGCTTTGTGCTTGCCTCAAGCATACGTTTTGGATGTTTTTTGTGAAGCGTCTTAAAATGTCCCGTAATGGTGCTTTACGCAAAAGTTCTTATTAACAATTTGGAATTTTCCTATACTACCCTTTTAGAAATGTCACGTTTTCGTATTTTTGGCGTCCATAACAAACCGCGATATCATAAGCGTAAAATTGTAAGGCGTATCATACAACATAAAATTGTATGGCGTATGTGCTGCGTGAAATTGCACTAGCAACGTGATCTACCTCCCGTTCGAAAACGGTAGAACTTATGTTTCTATCATTAAGCGTTAGCTGAAATGAGTCGATGAGCGCGCCAAATAGGGGTGAGCACAACCGGGTACCCGGTCATATTCTCACTACCCGGATCCGAAATCGGTTATGATCGGGTCCCAAGAATTGGAACTGGTCCCGAAACCGGTTAATACCGGATCCAAGTTTCTTGGAACTGGTCCCGAAACCGGTTCCAAGACCGGGTACCCGGTTCTTATTCTTTAGTTTTATTGTTTTTTTTAGCTTGTAGGGAGGCATTAACCTCATCATCAGCACTTCCCTCTTTATATCTTCAACAAAAAAATGTCGACCAACAAAGATTTATAGACTTAAACACATTTATTTCACCATTTTTGTAAAATTAAGCAAGAAACATTCACCACCCAAACGGAAAATTGCATTCACAACCACGTCGCAACGAAAAATGCCGACCAAGTTGCTGCCAAGCCATATGGCAAACTACTTACCTCGAAAAATACAACCAAACCAAGAAAAAAATATCGATTAGTTTGAGCAATTTAGTTCATCATAGCCTCATTGGTGAATAATTGAAGCAACTGATCTTTGCTTCAGGGTCGTTTAATGGTGGTCGGAGAACCAAAGAGAGGAACGAAGACTGAAGAAGGCGAGTGGGCGGCTGAGGAATTGGGGAACAAAAACCCTAAATGTTAAAAACTTTTGAAATGTGAGTAAATGAGTTACTGAAATGTGAGGATTTGGGGAATGAAGATTGAATAGGGAAGGCTGGATATTGAAGCCAGTTGGGCTAGATCCTAATATCATTATCCAGTATTATTTGTTTTAAAGAAACTGCATAGTGTATATTAGTATAACTATATAATAGTATTGACATAAAAAAAATAATTTAAATCTGAACATTTACCGGGTACTCAATGGGTACCGGGTCTGAAATTTCAGTATCTGGTCCCAGAACCGGTTACAACCGGGTCCGACATTTTGGACCCGGTCCTGGAACCGATGAGACTAGTTCCGGGTCTGGACCCAACGGGTCTTAACCGGTTCCGGGTACCCTGGGTCTTTGCTCACCCCTAGCGCCGAACCATCGGGGTCAGACGCCCCCCGTTGGAAGCAAATACGGTTAGCTAGGAAGCACTCTAGCTTTACTAGACAATTAGGGTGTCCGTCCACCCCTTGTATAAAGAGCGACCCCTGTTGAAGTCGCACCTATTTAGACACGTGCCCCCGTCCTAAGACGCGTGTTTTCATCTTGTGGACAAAACTACTAAGGGAGTTGCCGATTTTTTTTCTCTCTCACTGGATTTGGATATGTGCCTCCATGAGACATGTATTTCTATCTTCTGGACATCGAGTATTTGTTTTGGCAGCGTATGTCAATCTTTTATTCAAGTGCTAGGCTATAAATGGCGAAACACTCCCGTTTTATCATCTTTTACTTTGTTAAAATCATGAACTAAAGTTTCAATGACATATCGAGGGACTTTAGACCGCCGATGACATATTGAGAGGGTATCATCCTCTTTACTCTTTTTAAACCCGGTACCTTCTCATAACATGAAATCACCCAGAACAGCCTTTACTTGTAAAAGCGTTCTACATTAGCAAAGGGTCAATCTAGATTCTTTAGCGCACTAAAACTAGAAGATACCTTTTTCTAGTCTTAGCAGCTACATGTCTTGAACACTTAGCAAATCGAGAATAGTCTTGATATTCTCAACACTACTGAAAGATTCCTTATCCATAAGGAACTTCGCAGAATTAGTCTCGGATTTATTTCTTTGGCTACTTTGATCATCGTCTATTCTAGACTCGATCAAAGTGGGGGCTAACTGTAGACATCTACTTTTGGTCCTCTGTCCCGACCGAAAGTGTTATGACGATAAATAATTCCATCTTTGTGTTGGATTGGAGTGAAGAATGCTTATGGATTACTGATTAAAGCCTAAACACATAAACCAACTAGCTTGACCCAAAACGAAATTAACTAAAGCTTGTTAATACTATGCTCGATCAGCAATTAGGCCTAATCTTGAGGTTAAACCTAATTTTGACGGATTTAGAAGCGCCTAGGTTAAAATCTAGGGTTGCCGCAGGAAAAACCGCGCCCAACTCAAGGAGTCGCACTGGCTTGGCGTGCACAACTCACAAAGTTGCGTGACACCCAGCGTAGCCTCCGGTGATGCGCTTGCGGAAGATTTAGAATTTCATAAAAATAATGAATCGAATCTTACCATAAGCCACGCGCAAGATCATAGGTTGCGCTGCCAGTGCAGCGCGGCTTAATCACTTGCGCGCATCAGTCGTGCGCAACCTCTTGAGTTGCGCGTGCCACCTACTGCGGCAGAATGTTCAAAACCCTAAACTCACCCATTCCCTATAAATAGGGGTTCAATATGAGCTTTCAAACACACAGAAATTAACCTAAAAAGTCAGCAGAAACTTGTGAACTTATGCTCTAATCATCCCCTTGTCCTAAACATTCACCCCTTTATTGTTTGTTCTTAAAGTGGAGGTTCCCTAACAAGGAGTCCATAAGTGATCTAAACGAAGATCTAACAAGAAAAAGTGGTAAAATTCCCGAGCACTTAGATAAATCACCTTTCTTTCTCTTGCTTAAACAACTTTTAATCAACTAATTAGTGTTGCTTGATCACCTAAAACAAACTTTAATTAATTAATTTCACATAATATCTGCGTTAATTCAAGACTTGAATTTGAATAATTAATTGTTGTTTTATCACTTAAGTCAAGGCAAATATTATTTATTTCTTGTTCTTTTCATGAATTTGAATAACAAAGAATAACGACATTCATTGCAATATAATCTTTATGTGATTTACGCGTGTAAATAAAATTAACTAACTTAGTTTTAGGTATCACGTTGCATATATTGTTTGGCAATGAAATTGTGAAAAGGAAGAGCTAATAGAGGCCGCACTTAGGCTAGAATAGCGATTCCTCCCTAAAAAGAATGTTATTTTAGTACCCTTGCTCCCGAACTCATTTCTGGTACAAGTAGACCAATTTGGGCATGGGTAAACTTATGATTCATGCTAAATGTCCCTTGAACCCTACTTGGGAGAAAGACATGAACGAGGTTTATGAGTTTTCCTAAAACTCATTGGCGACTCCTTATTAGTTTCTTACAAAAAAGCTTAATGATAGGATCAATTCTAATTCAAGGTCCCCCAAACAATCAGGAATTCAAATCCTAACACACCTTAAAAAGTGTAAAACCCTTGGCTTTTAAAGGGCCATGGGCATAGAGGAGAAGGATCCCTTATCATGGGTACACCCTCCTCACAGTGACGACTCCATTGGAGAATTAGAGGTACCCTAAACTGACCACAGTGGAGTCGTCACTGTGAACTACAAACCTAGATACCAAACGAATGAGTGAGGACTGGCCCCACCCAAATTAGCCCTAGTGGAGTCTTCACCCAAACTGGCCCCAGTGGAGTCCTCATGTTGGTGACTCCACAGTGGCCACAATTTATGGACTGAGGAGTGAGGACTGCTCCAACTTTTTTTTTTTGTTTTTAGGGGTGACTGCTTCGCACTAATTGTAAAACAACACCTCATACTATACCGATGGCTTGAAAAAGGGCACGTGTCAAAATGCTGCTTCATCTTGACTTAAGGTCAACAGAAGAAACACTCCCAAGTTTAAAAGAGAAAAACAGAGGAAACCAAAAAGAAGCTTGATGATCACGCTTCATTCACAAAACGTCTCCTATAAAAACCATGCTCACTCCCACTCTCATTCCTCCTTCCTTCCGCTGCTACTACTCAATTACTCATTCTCAAAATACTCTCAAAACTCCGATGAATGGGAGACCCTAAAGCAGCGTTGTCGCCGTCGATATTACCACCGGGTTGCCGATTCTACCCTTCGGAGGAGCAGCTCCTTTCGTACTACCTCCGTCACAAGAACCACCTCAATTCGCCTCTGCAATCCTCATCTTCGTCTTCGAATGCCGATTATTACGACGCAATTAAGGAGATCAATTTGTATAATTACAACCCCTTTGATCTTCCGGAATTGACTTGCTTTAGATTTGGGTGCGGCGGAAGGAAGCGGCATTGGTATTGCTTCACTGAAAGGGTTAATGGTGGAGAAGAGGATAGAGGAAATAGAAGAGCTGGGATTGGGTATTGGAAGAGGAAAGGTAGGGTTAGGGATGTTATGGGTAATGGTGGTAATGTTATTTTGGGGAGGAGGAAATGCTTCATTTTTTATTTGGAGAAATTGAATGGTAAAACTGCTGTTCGGACTGATTGGTTCATGTATGAGTATGCTCTAATCGACAATTTTAAGGTATATTCTTTGAAATTTTTTGGGTTTTTTTTTGGTTTTGATTGCAATTTAGTACTTGGGATTTGTTTATTTCAGGTTTAATTTTGTGAAATTCTGCAATTATGTTAGGATTTATGTGTTTGAATTTGAAATGTGTTGTGTTTTTCGTTTTTGATTGTAATTTACTACTTGGGATTTGTTTATTTCAGGTTTAATTATGTGAAATTGTTAAAATTTATGCAATTAAATTAGGATTTATGTGTTGAAATGTGTTATTTTTCTTGTTTTCAATTTGTTCTATTGCTTTATGATTGTTGAATGATTAAAATTGTAGGGTATGGTGGACCTTCGAAGGTCTAACCTAGTGTTACCTAAATTCAGTAAATTGCTAGGCACCTCCAAGAACTACATTCAGAAACGAAGTCAGTGCAATGGAGCACTTTTAGACTAAGTTAGCAAGTATAGGTAGTGAATTGGGTCTCTATATCTGTTTTGGGTACCAAGGATATTGCAAATTGGGTTACATTGTTTTGATTTCTTAATTTAAAGGGATGCTTGTATTTGTTCCAATCTCAATTCAGAATGTAAGGATGATTTTTTATTTGTTATGATTGTACGAAGTAGGTTCAACCGTTCAAGTGATTTTTGGAATGGTGTTACCATAGATACTATATTTTAGGCTTAAAGTTGATGTATTCATCATTTTATTGGGTAATCTTGATTAAAAAGTGAAAATCAAGGATATTATGTGAAATAACTTGAGCAATAGTTGCTGCTGCAGGACTGATAAATAGTGGAGACAAAGATGCAGCTTGATGGACAGCTGTAATATATTAAGTATGATAGTCAGAAGGGCTTCCTGTCTAATAGTTTTTTATTGTTTTTAATATCTTGGTTTACTGAAAGCCAAGTTTTCCAAGTGTATAGGCAATTCTGTTTTTGGAGTTAGAAATTTTGGATGTTTTGAAATTGTACCCTCAAAGTATTGCCCAGTCAGGCAATATACTTAAATATTTCATTATAAATTAGGAATATAAAGTTATTGAATCCTTTTTCAATTGTTCTTAATAAAGGTTAAATTTGCACATTACAACTCTTTTTATAAGTATCAAACTAAAACAAATTAAGAAGATGCAAAGAACAGGAATTCTATGGCGTTCCTAATTATAATATATTTTACCTCATTTAGTCTAACAAATTAAGGTGTAAAGAACAGAAATTCTATGGTGTTCCTTACTATAATATATTTTACCCCATTCGTCTAAATGATAGGAATCTATATATGTAATACTTCCTCAATTTCTTAATACATCCATGAATTTGACTGTCACTCAATTCAACTCACAACCTTGACTATTATTTATATTATAAGATCTGTTAGTATGATGTATATTAAGCCTAATCTAACAACATTAAACACTATACTATTATTTTTTTAATATATAAATGAGAAATTGGTGTTAAAGCTCATATATAAATTGTGCAAAAAGCTAAAATGAATGTATTGAGAAAACCCATCCATCGCCTTGTTTCTGCACTAGTTCCCTTTACTTTGTTTCTCTTCGTCCCTTTGAGTATCTGAACCTATGCTTACCATCTTCAAAATCATGAGCTGCAAAATTCAGCTGCAAGCTACGCTTTGAGCCCTTTTCTCATGTGATTAATCTCTTCATTATGTAACAGTTGGCAGAGAGTGAGAATTACTGTTCTAATGCTGCTGTTTTATGATTTGGAGAAGCAACTCCCAGACCTTCAGTGTGAGTAACTTCAGTAAATTATGGGATCAGTCCTACATCTTCCTGGCCCTGTTGTAAAGTAGTACCAAATATACTTTATCTTCTACACATGTTGCTTCATTTTTGCAGCACAAAATTCTTGTTCAGTCTAGTTTCTCTTCAATCCTTGAGCAGTTCTTAGATTCACAAATTTATATTCTTATATTGATAAAAAAAATTAAACGTATACCAAATCCAAGTCAGAGACCTTACCATTTTATTAAGCAATGGAATCTACCATGCATTTGGAAGTGTTGATTTGCTCTTACAACCTTGATATAAAGATTTCAAGTGCTCTAAGAGACCTGGTTTCTAGAAGAGCTTCCAATGATAGAAAGTGTTCTTTCTTTGAAATGAATATTATGCATATTAAACACATGTTTGAAATATCTAGAAGAAGAAAGAGAGATCAAAGGAAAATATGTTTACATTTGATATTTTTGAGCAATTGAGGAGAAATAAAGAGAGCAAGTTCTTACAATAGCCTAAGACAGAAAATTAAACACTTATTTGAAATATTTGTACATTGCATATTATCTAATGTCATGAAATGGTAATATTTAGTGCCAGAATCCTTGTGGCTTTAGTTCAGAATGGAGATAGAATCGGAATAAGCCAGATATGATACAGAAGTTAGGGTCAAGTCATTGTGATGCTCTAGGTTAAGAGGAGTTAACTCAAGCTTCTTAGTCGAAAGTCCAAACATTGTTGAAATAACAGAAACCGTGGTAGTTTTTCTAGGCATCTTCATTGCTAGATTATTCATCAGTACGTTATGGTGGTTAATAGTCCTCGTAATCACAAGCATATGAACTATTTTAAATGTGTAGATTGTATTAATGTGCGTATTCATGGTGGAAAGTTGTTGATTTAAATGTCTTGTACTGCTTGCATTATTTTGATGCATTTTTGTAATGCATTTTGAATTTTGGCAATTGATGAGAGAAAATCAAGAGTTATCTTGTGCCTTAAACAACTGTTTTGAAGTTGGGATCTTTGTTTAGCGGGCATCAAGAGAGCAAAAGAGAATATGGGAGTGAGATGAAAAAGGGCCTCTTTGGCTGACTATGTCGTGGTAGAGTGTGGTAGCGGGAGACTAGGAGTTGAGAGAGAAGTATGGAGTGAAGTTTCAGCTTATTTAGGCTCCATTAAATTTAAAAAAAAAAAAAATTAGAGCTTGAACTAATACGAATGAATTAAACATAACAAGGGCTGTGTATTGGAATACAGTTCGTAGGGTTATTGCACATATGCATTGGTATTTTCACTGAACAGTATCTTAGTAGTTTTTCATGTGAATTTTTAAGAGGCTTTCAGGCAAGCAAACAGGTATCAGTAATTGTAATTGATACAGAAAGTGAACATTTTTTTAATTTTTCTCTTGGGACCAATTTGAAATCGTGACGTTAACCATTCTTAGTATGAAGCTGAGGCATTTGGGTTTCATTTTCGCTATGAAAGGTTTTTGAGAGAGGTCTTTATTTCAAGTTGCAATGTACAGTTTCTTAATGAGGTAAATAGTACGTGGCTGCATATATTGACTAAGTACTCATTTAAAGACTAAGAATTTCTTAATGAGTATTTATTGCTGGTAGTAATTGGACGGATAATCAGGTTATGCATGGAAATGCTATGGTTAATTGGTAAGTGTTGAGTTTAAGTAGTGTCATACTTCCTTCGTTCTTTTTTACTTGACCCGCTTTGACTTTTACACTATTCACCACCTCTCCTTTGATTGTCTTTTGTGAATAATATGTAAGGAAAAACATATTCATGTAGGATTTTTTAAAATTCGTATCATAAGTACTATCATAATATATAACTTTATAATTTTTACTCATGAAGAATTAAAGTTATGATTCATTAAGGTTTGCATTGGCAAGCGTCATAAAAGAAACAGGTCAAGTAAAAAAGAACGGAGGAAGTATAATTTATGTGTGTAGGTAGAACTCTTATTCGAGTAAAATAGCATTTGTGAAATTTGAGGTTTTGCCAAGGGATAATAGAATCTGAATTGCAGATATATGGTCCAGTTGCTTAAAATTAGTATGATCCAAAGAAAAATATCTTAAAGATTATGTTATTTAAGTTTATTTTATTTTATTTTAAAAATATTTGTGTGTTGATAGCTTTACCCAAATGTATTAGTTATATTATATTATTCCTCGAGCTTGAAAAAGTCTACTTTCTTGTTTTTGATGATCAATGATATTTTGAATTTTTTCTTTCATACTTTGCTTTTCTTTTTTACTTGTAATATTCTCCTTTGAAACACACGTTTATGATGAGATTAGAGAAGATAAATAGACAACTTAATTAAAATAGTTTGACAACTAGAACTTGATAATACAAGCTATACAAACCTTCCCTCTTACCGGTGTAAGATTGAACTGGTTAACTTGTGCTATCTTAATCATATTACATTTTTTGCAGGCCTCATTTGTTGTGTGCCGAGTGTTTGTCAAATCAAATGGTCGAAACAGCATTTCAGAGCATGCTTTAAGTTCATGTGCTGAAGAAAGCATTGCAACTGTGCGTCATATTGGTATTCAGCACGATTCAAGCACTGTTTCTGTCTTGGATGAAGATAAAGCACATGGCTTCTACTATGTAAATGGTATGATTGCGGGTCAGCCAACAAAATTGATGGAAGAGACAGAACCCAACATTCCGGTGAACTTTCTTAACCTTGAGTGCAATTTCGTAACATGTTTATCAATTTGTTAAGTAACATATCTGGGATGTGCTAAACAATTTGATGTTCTCTTTTCATGTAAGGTTTTTAATGTGTTTTCTGCAAAATGAATGCTTTTTTTTTAATGTAGTGTGAGCAAAAATATTAATGAATATTACTTCGTTTCAAAAAGTGTGCTTTGGGCGTGCCTAGGTGCCAAGCAAGTCAAGGCTCAAGTCAAAATGGCTTGACCTTGCAGGGTACAATTTATTCTAAAAGGCGACAAAAGAATTTGCTTCAGGCTGCCTCAACCAAGGTGCAAGGCGGAGTGCCTAGGCAGCTTCATGTATAAATGTGAGGGAGTAGATCTGAGTCTAAATCAAAAACAAAATTCCTTTTTTTTCATTATTTCAACCTTGATTGTCTTTAGGAAGCTAATCTTGGCAAAGGGACTCAATTAATTGCATAATAACTTCAATTTAACTCTCCATTAAAAACCCTAATGATTTTTTATTTTTTTATATTTTTAGAGAGGAAGAAGAATAATAATATTATCATTAATAAATAGCCATACGGCATCTGCAATAGTAATAAAGATTTGTAAACTACAACTTTAAAGAAAATAACATAACTTTTACAATCAAAATCATAACTATTTTGCATATTTGGCATAGCTCACACTCCACCGCTTTCATCTTGACGCGAGCAGTGATTTTCGATGTCTTCGCATCTTTCCAAGTGGAGACCTTCGCAATCTATGCTGTGTTTTGATCGTTGAGTTGATGACAAACCCTAAATCCATATGAATCCAAATCACCTTCTCAATTATTATTAGAACCCTAAAAATTCCTAATGATAGAAAAGCATATTTCACGCCTTTCACAAGTGGTGAATCAATCGAGAAATTGGTTGTTGCCAGCTATGAGAATTTTTGCTGGTGAACAATTTCTGTCCCGGCAAGAGGAAAATCCTCGTTCACAATGGTATAAATGAAGCTTAACATTTTGTCATGTAATAATGAGAGGAGCGGGTTTGGATTATCAATAATGGGATAGCAAAGTTATAGGAGTTGAATTTGAATTGGCATATAGTCAACCAAGGGATATTCAATAAAATGGTAGATGCTTTATCAAGAAATCTACAATAGCTATGTAGTTAGTGTCCATCGAATCCATTTGCAGTGTTTCTTGTGAGCATATTCAAGCTGTCTTTTTTCAGGATATCTTCGCACAATATATGATCACATAGAATGTGGAAGAAATCAAGAAAGGGCATCATGATTCGATTGTGGAGGAAGAGTTGTTTTATGAAGGAAGGGTTGATGATGCTAGTCACTTTGAGCTAGTAATATGACTCTCCCAGCAGGGTTTCTCTCTAGGAAGTTGAAGACATATTAATGTTTAGTTTTTGAATGGTTTTGGGTCTATAAGGAAAGAAGTGGCAGCAAATTCAACCTTATTTAACCTGCTAGCCTTCTTCAGCCCTTGCCCCTCCCCTCCCATCCCACGTTTAAGATGAAATCATGATGGATTTCGTCATAGGGTTAATAATATTACAGGGAATTTATGCCATATTTGTGGTGGTTGATATTAACCATGTTTGCGCACTTCATTGGAATAAATTACCATTTTACTGCTATGGTAGGTGTATAATCATGAAGGAGTTGGTGTATCCATATGGGCCCGAGTTCCATCTTCACCGACAGGATCAGCCTGCCCATCCCACACCTCAAATTAGATACATGTATGCAAGAAGGGAAGGGATAAGTATTAAGGATAGTACACAATAATGAGGTTGGGAATCCTGTTATGATGTCAGAAGGTGAGGAAGAGCATCAAAAAGGAGGACACTCGTGAATCAGTGAGGGAGAGAACAATGTAATGGGGAGAGAGTATTATAAGGGTTTGTTAAGTCCGTCTGAATAATTTTGGGCACTTGAAAGTCTTATATTTAGGTACTGGAATTTTCCATAATTATAGTTTCAGTTTTTTTTCTCTTTCCATCGGTTTCAGTGACGAACCATTGAAACTTTTGCTTACCCAGTTTAGCTATGAGCTTCTGAGTGTTTTGACGCCCCTCTTCAGCAACCTTTGCAGAGTGAGGTGTGGTTTGTTTATCTATTCTCTTAACCCTGTTTGTTCTAAATACCACCACTCCACCAAATTTTAAACCTGAATAGCCTGATTACCTGCCTCTCGTAGTAGCGATACAATTGGCTGCAAAATCTATTAATATTGGTGTTTCTTCACTTGTTTATATGATACACAGAAGCTTTCATTGGTTGGGTACTTGGTTTTTATTTACCATCAGAAAATTAATTGTAAATTTATGTTGGGATTTTAGATGTTGGATGATTACTGTTCTTGTCTCTTTAGGTATGATTTTTGGTAAGGCATTAAAAATACTTTTGGGTGAATGCATGTGGGTTGGGATTATCTATGTATTGTCATAATGGCGCACTTGCTTAGCTCCTAAAAGTACAACTATGAGGGAGTTGCCAAGTGTGCATACACAGATACACTTTGAGCGGAGATACCTTCTATCAACATCAAAGTTCTTGAATGCGATGACATCATGCAATTCCTTTGACACCATTTCCTTCAGCCGTTTTGTTTGGAAGTGTAGGTGAGATTATTAAAAACTGACCATTGTTTATTGGACGTAATCTCTTTAATTTGAACTCCTTGATTCAGGTCCCCAACTTGATAAAAACCCTAATGTGCAAATTGTGCATGTTAAGTCAAATTGGAGGACGTCCATCCATTAATACATCAAAATGCTATTCAATACCAATCAATTGCTTGCTTCTTGTTCTGTCCATACAAAGCTATAGAATAATTATCCCTGAACCCTATAAAAAGGAAACTAGCAAACTGCATACCTCTAGCAGATTCCTTGGATTCTGAAATCAGGACTAGTTGACTTAGCTATGGATGCTTAGTTTATGTAGACCATATCAAGGAGTTATTTAAAGATGCGAGGGATGTGTTTTACTGGGATTTTAAGATTGGTTTTAAGAATTTGTTAAGCATGACATAGGCAATGCAGGTGGTAGGAACTTGGGCAGGCTGTGAAGGATGAATGGTCTTTTGACTCAATTAATTTTGGAAGTAAAATATTGAAGGTATGTGGAAAAATGGATGACTTGGAGAGATGATGTTTTAGATAACGAAAGTTGTGGTAGGTAGGGGAAAGTATGAGTAAAAAGAGTTGGTAAAATGAACCTCAAAGGTGAAAATGGGTGTACTGGATGAGTGTCCATTGTTGCAGTGACAAAACAAGGTTTGATACAAAGGGTTTGGCTTATACAGTGGTAGTTTGAACTCTGAAATACTTATAATTCTGGCAATGGGGCAACATGGAATTTTTGGGAAATCATGGAAATCCTCCACTGGCCTCATGTCTCTCTAGGCATCCTTGTTTTTTAGGGTACATGTTGCTATAAAAGGATATGGAGACTCCCAAGAGAAATTATGTAAAATTTGCATTTCTTTTAAAATGGTGGACATGGTTTCAATGAATGGCACAAAGACCCTTTATTCTTTGTTTCTCTAGAACCCATGTCAAGATTTAAGTTTTGCTGGTTGTTTGAACAGCAGGTTAAAAGACTAGATTTAACTCATTCAACTTGCTTAATCTATGACAAGTATAATTTTGAACCTTTTTAAAGGCTTTTGAGGATTGCAATGTGAGCCACCTACTTTTGGTGTTCTCTTGCTTTGAGATCCGAACTACCCTACTTTTCAATTGGCATGGCCACCATGGTGCTGCTCTTCTGTGAAAACAAGCTTAATTCCCTTGGAAGTTCACCTTGATTGGGACATGTTAACTTTGATTTATATTTTCCTTTTCCTTTTCAAATTATAATTTATATTTTCATTATAGTCCTACGTTCCATGTATGTTTTATAGGTGAAATCACCAGGGCATGTTGGCAGTGCTGACTTGGTCAATTCTTCGAGTCCTCGGCATTTAGTATCCAACCTAGAACGAGATTTTATAGAGTTGGATGATCTTCTCTGAGAAACCTGCAATAATCATTTATACAAGATGGAACCTGTTATTACCATCTGCATTGAAGTTATGTTGAAGGAGACTGGAATTGTTGCTTTTCAACAGTTCACATTTTGCTGCTACTACAACTTTGTACATCTGAAATTGGTATTCCACCAAAATCTGCATTGATGAACCTCATCATGGTATGGCTGAATTAGACGCTCGTTAAGTGCTGGTTCTATGTATAGATTCTGCACCCCTGTAAACAACACTAGAGTTGGTTTTATATCAAAATTATGTAGGGAACATTATTAACAGAAGCCAAGTTTGACAATGCTGTGGCAGGACGTGTCTTCCTGTTAAAGGTAAGTCTATATCTGATTTGTCACTTTCCAGTTCCAGTTAACACTTTCACTTGCAACTCATTCCCATGCTGAATGTGCAGATTTTCACCATTCCCTTTGACAGGCAAGCTTGGTGCATACTGATTGGGGTATTATTCCCAATTGCGGAGAATCTGTCCTTGACGAAGCTCTCCTTCGTAAATGTTTACTGTTTGCTCTATTTAAATCTTTGCTAGGTCCAGGTGGAAATGCTTTTGAAAGTGAGATCCGAATAGTGCTTTGACGGAATTCTCTTGTAAATATTTCAGCTATCTGTCTTAGTTGGATGCGAGTAATTGATTATATTGTTATAAGTGCTGATTTCGTTTGTAAGGCTTATGTGCGTGTTGGGAATTAAAATTAAGGCAGTAGCTTTTCTATGAAATTATCATGAATGCATTGCGAAGTAAATTATGTTCTTGCTATTTGTTTGGGAGTATTTCAAAGTTGGATGCGAGTAATTGATTATATTGTTTTAAGTGCTGATTTCGTTTGTAAGGCTTATGTGCGTGTTGGGAATTAAAATTAAGGCAGTAGCTTTTCTATGAAATTATCATGAATGCATTGCGAAGTAAATTATGTTCTTGCTATTTGTTTGGGAGTATTTCAAAGTTAAGCTTGTGAGAAGTTAAGCTTGTGAGCTGATGGACAAAGCTACTTGCTTACTTATTGTCTTTAAGTCCACCCGATTTCCTCTTTCTAGGAACTTATCTGTTTGGTTCAAATATCAGAAAGGAATGGAATCAAGGAAGATTAACGAAAGGAAAGAAACTCAAAGCCCACAAATTTCCTAGTATGCTTGGTTCAATTTGGCAAGGAAATGGATCATGGTCTTTACGAAGTAATCTTTTAGTGAGTTAGGTTGAGGTGTTTAAAAGAACCTCCTTTCAGTCCCTATTATTCTCACCGTCTCCTCAAGCTATAGGAAACTCCATCTTCAAGCTTCAACACCCATCACTCAAACCACTGACCACCCCCACCCAAAGTATACTAGTTTTGTGCTCGGGTTATACCCATGTTTAATGATCGAATTTTAGCATAAATATTTTGGCCTACATGAATCGTAATGCATATCATTGATACAAATCATATTTAAGAGGCTTAACCTTTAGATGTAAAATTTTCTAACATGTGATATCATTGATTTATGTAATAATAAAATACACTGTATAAAAAAAAAGACTAGTGTATAGCCGTGGCGTTATATCGAGTTACTACTTTAATTAAACCTTGTGATTTTATTTATGGTATTTATGTTTTTTTTTTAATTTTATTTTTTTAATTAGACCTTAACAATTATACACATTTATTTTCATGTTCATAATATGGTTGATAATTGACTTAGATGGTTAAATAGCCATCCTTCTTATAATAGGTTGGGTGTTTGAATCTTTTTATCCTTATATTTTAAGGAAAATGTGTATACATAGCCCTAGGCTAAGGGCTATATATAAGGAGCTAAAATTGGACAAAACTAATGAAAATATAACAATTACATTGATCTACGTGCGATTTTGTAACGCATTCCTAAATTAATACCAAATAATTAAGAAAAGGTTTTAAATGCTTATTCATACCCGTAAGGGCTACATATAGCATTACCCATTTTTATATATGAAGTAATGTTGGTTGATTGGGTGACATGACATAATGATTAAGGTTGATTGAGTGGTGATGTGGCGTAATGAGAGGTTGACTAGGTGACGTGGCGTGATTAAAAAGGTTTTATGTGACACATAGACACTTTTAGAGACGCCTTTTAATAGTATAGATGGTGTATTAATTGTATATCTATTAAAAAAATTGGTATCTATATTATATTGTTCAATTAGTCCTGAGTTAATTATTAATTTATAAATAAAAATATATCACTATCATTTAAAAAGTTGATAGTAGCTTTAAGATTTACAAACATGGCAATGGAGCTGTCATCTCTCTTTACACGAGACCAAGAAAAGAAATTAAAAGCACTACTCGAAAATAAAATATCCTCAATTACACTATCCAAGTTAGAGAATAAGATTGCGGCCTTTGATTGTCGATTGATTAGAACGTGACAGTCGGATTCTACTATGACATTCCCATATCCTTACTTCTTCGTAAGCTTGACTGCCATCACAATAATCTTTGCTTCTGCAATTTCTAGAGGACACCATGCTCTCACTCTTCTCGAGGCTGCCAGCAAGACATCATCCCTATTGTTTCGAGCAACAACACCTTAACCTACCCACCCATCCTCCACCAAGCTTGCTGTAGGCGGCGTATAAAGTCCATCTATTTTAGCATACTTGAATATGCTTCGCAATAGCAGGAAGTTGGAATTGACTATAATAACGATAGGGACAAAGGATAATGTAGGGAGTCGGGACAAAGGGAAACATGATTTTAATCCATGAGGTTACACCCATTTATAATCCATGAGATTATGTCTTAAAATATGACTGGAGGGTTTGGGGATGAAGGTATGAAATTGAATAAAGAAGGCAATTTCACTCGTATTGGCCTCTATTGATTCTTATTTTGACTAGTATTAATTTGCAATTCAAAAGACATTCAATCAAAGTTTAATTTGCTCCAAACTAGATTAGGATAAATTGGTTGAATATTAAATCTTATAAAGTGTGATTTCAATGACAAATTCTTATTTAAACATGTAATTGGTGATTAAAGCAATAAATTATGCATAGCTATAATATTAAAGTCATAACCGAAGCATCCAAAACAAGATTTTAATTATTAGCAAAATTAAAAAATAAATTAAACAATGAAAAGGATAAATTGCTTTAATTTGAACGAGCTACAATTCTTTTAAATTGCTTTCATGTCGTGGTTAAGTGTAGTACATTAAGTATTATAATGTCTCTTCGAATTGCTTGAAGGAGGAATTATGAAAAATAGGAAGTGTATAGCATAGTTGTACGTATATGAGAATTTCGTGCCCAAAACCCTAGAAATGAGTCGGATATATATAGGCTACGATGCGGGGGAAAGCTAGAAAGGCAACGGATTGTCATGCCACGTTAGTAAATGTCGTGACATGTTAGAGATTGTAGTGACACGTGAGATGTTTACGTGGCACGGTAGAGGAAAACATTGTTTTACTCGGAATTGGAAAATATGAAATGAAATAGTAGGCGTCGATTGAAGTGTGCATACCTTAATTAGTATACATAAATATGCTTGCAATCATAGAAAGTTGTATTTGACATTATAACGATTAAAGACAAAAAAGTAGAGTCACCAACAAGTTTTTAAGGAACTTGTAAGTCATTCATGGATTATTTAAGGCAACCACGAAAAGAGATAAACCGAAAGAAAACAGCGGACTGCCAGTAGCCTTGAACTTTGGGATGTTGATCATAGAAAATTTCTCAAGAAGACTTCCTCTAATGGGTGAAAGATCCGGTGTTGTCTCAATATAAGTATGCTCTTCAGAGAGCTTGTTGAGTTTGTCCGATCCTTAATCTTTTGGAGAGATACAGGAGTGGCATTTTCTTCAGTAGTTGACAACCGGGTTGTGAGACCTTGAAGCAAAGTTCGTTGTTTTTCCAACAAGAACATCTATCTTTGACTCCATCAACGTCATCTTTTGAATTCATTTGTTGAAAGAGGAGTGGTTCTTGTTAGGCTAGTTGAACTTGAGTCCTTCGAACGTTCCTTCTAGTTCGAAGGGGTTATGAAAATTAGTCTGATCTACTCTTGCTTCTTGTCCAAGAGAATTAAAAATGAAATCAACATACTCAAATGTGACTCGATACTCCACTCAAAAAAGGAAAGAAAAAGTATGGAAAGAATTGTTTTGAGACAGAAAGTGGAAGCCACCATCGGAAATTATTTCCTATGATGACGAAAACGAATCATGCATGATCTTAGTACAGTAATAGAAGACAACGTGTATGTGTAACTTGACTCAAACAAAAGGACGACTCAACCCGTGAGCAATTAAGTGAGTTATTATTAGACTTATGATATGATCGTAAAGCTAAACGTGATGAACTATTTAGATGATAATCCCATGCTTGATCTGTAGCTCAAGGAAGAATGAAAATCTCAATCCTATCATACTCCTCTAAAATTTACTTTGCATAAGATCAACAAATGCATTACATCGTTTTTGATTAGTAGCACCAATGATATCATCAACATATATCTGTATGAACAAATAGTTGCTTATCAACTATTCCACTCTTATTGTCATGTTCCATAATAAAGAAGGTGGACAACTTTTCATAAAAATTGTGAGGAGATTATTTAAGGTCATATAGGGATTTGTCCGCCTATTTACATAATTAAGTAACCGTTGATTCACAAAAACCAGGTTATTGCTCGACAAATACGTATTTCTTCTTTTTGATAGCCATTAAGAAAGGTTGTCTATCTTAACATCCATTTGAAAGATTCTTATTGCTTCCGATCTGGCTATACAAGGGCATAGGTTTCATCATAATCAATTCATTTTTGTAGATTTTACCCTTGCACTAAAAGCCTTTCCTTGTTTTTGACTATAGTATCAAGTTCATCCAATTTATTTTTGAAGGCCCCTCTAGTTCTAATGATTGACCTATTATATGGTCTTGGTTCAAGATTCCATTCCTAGTTCCTTTAAATTTGATAGATTTAACTTATCTCGCACAGCCAATTCCCAATCAGGATTTGTTAAAGCCACTTTATAGCCAGTTGGTTCTGTATTTGAGAGAAAGGAGAAGAATGCATAAACTGTTCTCTTTCTTGTACCCCTCTTTAAATGTCACTAATGTTTTTTTAGTGGAATGAGAGGATTTATATGTGAATGTTCTAGCATGTAAATCATTATTTTGCATTTCTCTCTACATTCGCTATAAAACCATTTTGCAAGCAAGTTAGTCTCAAATGCATCTGCGCCCGAGAGACAAGAACCCTTATGTCTAGAAGCTGGCCAGATTTCTGGAAGGAGAAAGTTCCATGGGAGAAAAAATTGGAGCTTCACAGCTACCCCCCTTCCCTCTAATATTTTGATCCTTGCTTGGAATGCTTGCGAAATCGCTCGCAAAGGATTCCGCAAGAATTTTCTCCACCTTGTTAATACTCATAACCATGATATTGTACTACATACTCACGGAGCTCCGTACCTCTCTCTTCAATACCCTGGGGATCCTTGAGGGCCTTCCTTTTGACAATCGTCACATTGCGGAAGCTAGAGGCTTGTCTGGTTGCTTAGCCCTTCTCTGGAATTCTTTCACAGTGGATTTCTCCTTTTTCTTTCATGACATGTATGCCATCCATGGCATTGCTAGGGTAAAAAATGCTATCGCCCCCTTTTTCTTTTCTAGAACATCTGCTAGTACTAAATCTATAGTTAGGAAAGCCACGTGGGTTGATCTATATGCCTTATCCCACTCTATTAATCTTCCATGGGTTATTGATTAGGGTAAAAATACCCAAGCCACGTGGACCAATCAGAATGTGACACATGTCACCCTAGAAAACGCCCAAACTGGGCCAACCAGGATAAGACACGTGGCATGCCAATAATGAAGGGAAATGACGACCCTTAACGACCAAAATCCCGAGGTGCTGTAAAATGGCGCAGCCCATTCTTTAGGTTAAATGACC